AAGCGACCTCGCGCTCCAAGTACGCTGTTGTTGCCGGTGCAAGAGAGAGTTGCCACGGGTACGAGGACGGAGTCCCTTGTGCCACGTCGTGTTTCACTAGTTTCAGATGACCCTCCAGGCAGAGTGGATGGTCTGGTCCTCATCACTTCAAGCTCACTGTTTTTCGGGGCACTGTGCGTTTGAGTGCCTCTGGCGTATGACTTTGGTGAGTTCACAAAGTCCTTGAGCTTGAGAGTGTTTACAGGTGAGGGGACCGGACCATAACCACTTTGGCTCAAGTCCTTTCTCTCTTCACTAAGCCCGATCCGACCCATTCCCATACCCTTCCCATCATCCTCTCATCCCTTCCTGTATATACCTGGAGGGTCACCGTGCTGATAGACGGACGCCTGGGGGTTGCCGAGTCAGGGTTTAGCCAGGAAAGAGCACCATACACTTCGTCAACGTCATCGTCCAGGGAACAGCGCGGCACGCTAAACAGTCAACGGGCTTCTTCCCAGAAGGACGAAGACAACTCCCTGGAGGTCGATTTTAGCAGCCACGGATTTAGCAGTCCTTGCCCGGCTTCCGACAGTCCCCTCGCCACAACTAAACACTATGAATACTACTCTCCTCTCTCCCTTGGTGGCGTCCGGGAAATGGTCAACCCCCCTCCGCGTGAAGATTTTTACACACAAGATTCCCCGGGAAACCGGTTTTCGCTTGGGTTTGTTTTCGAGCTCCCGCTGAAGCGCTGGCCTCATTGTCGTGCTACCCCTCGTTCCGAATCGTGCTCCCGCTGCAGCGCTGGCCTCATTTCAGGATTCCGCTCGTTCCGAATCGTGCTCCCGCTGCAGCGCTGGCGTACTTATTTCCAGTTCCATGCCGCGGCATGGTTTTCGGTCCTTCCAAATAGGCCTGCAAATCTAGACAATGCCCCCCCAACAAAAACCATCGAAAGTGAATACGTACACATTCGGTGCCGATGATTCAATTTTCTGGGCCGCAAAGCCCCCCCCTCTTTGGGGCGTCGCCATGCAATGCTATGTCAAGCTACGATTCTCATTTCCGCTCTTGCACGTTTGGTTGTTTTTCAAAATGCTGCTCTCGCTTAAACGTTGGCCTCATTTTCGGGCTACCGCTCGTTCCGAATCGTGCTCCCGCTGCAGCGCTGGCGTCAGTATTTCCTGTCCCATGCCGCGGCATGGTTGTCGGTCCTTCCAAAGAACCTCCAAATCAAAAAAACGGCCTCTCGAAGAAACCATCGGATGTGATTGCACATTCGGTGTCGATTATTTAATTTTCTGGGCCGCAGAAGCGCCCCCCTCATTTTGGGGCGTCGCCACGCCATGCTATGTCATGCTACGCGTTAATCTTCAACACCATGCTCTGACATGTAATGCTATGTCATGCTACGACATCCGATCGGGCGAGTAGGGACGAGGTCTGCGCCATGGTAGGGGATGGGAGGGAAGGGTATGACGTCAGATATGACGCGAGCGTACCTAGCTTGTCCTCTCCTCCTCTCCACTCCCCTGATCTCCGCCTCTCCCTCCCAATCTCCTCTCCCCCTCTCCCCCTCTCCCCCTCTCCCCCTCTCCACCTCTCCATCTTCTCATCTCCCCCGCCCCCTCTTTCCCCTCTCCCTCCTGCAACAGTGGATATGGCACATGTGGCAGATCCTGTGGGTCGGGAATCCTGCGAAAAGTGGAGCTCGCCGCCTCATCCGAACGCAGCCTCAAGACCCTACACCCTGAAGCGGTCTCACCTCCCAACCGCAAAAGAAGAAACATCGACATCAACAAGAATGTTCGTAGGTCCGCGCAATTATTTTCGGCCTTCGCTAGACCACCAGTCCCTAGAACGCGGAAAACGCCAGGGGCGGCGCAGGAGGCGCCGCCTGGAAGGCCCAGTGCGGATTCGAGAAATACGCGCGAACCTCCGAAAGTGGATGTTGATGGCGATTCTTCTTCCTCTTCGATACATCCTGAAGGGGTCTCAGCTCCCCAGCAGGAACTTCAAACCTCGACTACCTGGGCGGGAAAGAGGAGCAGGAGGCGGCCAAAGGTTAGGCCGCGCCCGCGCCCGAGCCAGCGGGAGGGAGGCGAGGGAAGCGCCCGGGCGGGACGCCAGCCGTGCACGGACGCCGCTCGCGGAGGAGAGAGGGAGGGAGGGAAGGAGTTCCTCCTCCTCCTCCTCCTCCTCCTCCTCCTCCTCCTCCTCCTCCTCCTCCTCCTCCTCCTCCTCCTCCCTCCTCCCTCCTCCTCCTCCTCCTCCTCCTCCTCCTCCTCCCTCCTCCTCCCCCTCCCCCTCCCCTTCCCCCTCCCCCTGGCGGGAGGGAGGCAGGGAGGCGCAGGGGGGAGGAGTGCGGCAAGAGGGGCAGGAGGAGGCGGTAGGAGCGGCACCGGGCCGAGATCCACCGTGCGCGTGGGAACCTGCCGGCAAGCTTAAGACGACCACCTTGGCGGGGAGCCGATGTTTTCTCGCCAACCCACGGCTGATTACATAGCGTGCCGACGATCAGTCAGCGGGCCACCATCAATCGGCAACGACAAATACGCGGTGCCAGGGCGGAAAACGAAACCAAACAGGCAAGCGAGAAAGACGAGCCGACAGCAGGACTATCCAGCCGATGAAATCTTGAAGCTCGCACTGGGCCCAAAGCCAACTTCAAGGAGTGGGCCAGTGAACCCGCGGATATCCTTGGGTACGAAGTCAACCTTGGCGACGGCGGGGAGCGCAGCAATGCCCACCGCGGGCCAACTCCGATTCTACAAGCGCCCGCGTCGCCAGAGCCACCGCCGGCGCTCTGTCGGGGCGGGCAGCATCCGCAGACTCTGCCGCTCGCCTGGGCCGCAACAGCGGGGCCGGCTTGGAGCGGCGACGCAGCCCCCTGCCGCCCTCGAGGCGGCGCTCGCCAGCTGGCCTTGCCACCCGCTCAAGCGCTGACTGCGGCTCTGCGAGCCCGCCTTGTCTGTGCGCCCCTTCGCCTCAGCATCCCGCTTTCCCAGCGCCCCCTCGCTTCTTCGCGCCAACTTTGCATCCGAGGGCTCGCGACTGGGCCGCCCGTCGCCCGCGGCTCGCTCTCGCTCGCGCCGCTCTTCGCTGCAAGTGCCCAGAGCTCCCAGCTGGCGCCCTCGGCATGCCATCCAACTCCCTGCGCTGCGCCTGCCTGTCCGTCGCGCTGTAGGTCAACTTCAGGCTGCCCAGCGGGCGCTCCGACCATTTCTACAAACGTCCTCCTGCCAGGACTGGAGCGCGCTTTCCCGCGGCTGGCCCCTCCGCCATCTGGCGACGGAAGTTGCGCAGGTCCTTCGCGCAAGCTTCGGGCGACTGCGGGGGCCAGAGTACCCCCTCAGGCTTCGCCCCTCCTCCCCGATCCAGCGCACTGCGGTGAACTTGAGGGGTTGCAAGAGCTAGCTAGCAAGTCGTTTTCTGAAACTGATCAGTTGCGCTAAGTGAATGCAAATCGTTGCAAGTGCATGCATGCTGGCGCGCAGCCGCTGCATTTTGAGCTTTAGAGTTATTGATCTTCAGTGCGCGAGGCGCGAGGCGAGCGACGCCGACACATGCGCGCGCACAGTCTGGCGTCGCTGCGCGCAAGGGGCCGGGTGGCAGCTCACACGATTGCCTACCACTTGAGCACATGAGGCACTATCGCGTGTGATCCGCCCCCACTGCGTCTGCATGCGTTGCGAAGCTCCGAACCCTTCTAACCAGCCACAACGGACGTCCCCCGCATCGCACATGTCCACCACGCACTGTCACGATCGCACGTGTGCAAGTGCTGACATTTGCCCGCAGATGGCACGCCCGCATAGCTGTGGCGGCGCGTGGTTTGGAAACTGTGCAAACGCCCCCGCCATGGCAGTGGCGACGTCGATCGACTGCCCCAACTGCGCGTCGTCGTCGGTTGGCGCCGCGGTCAGCGCGCCAAGCCGGTCATCGTAGTGTGGGGTGTCCCAGACAGATACAAGCGATACCATCGGTCCATTGACTGCAACGTGAAACAACACCTCCCCAACCGCCTTGCCACCATAGGCAACGGCAAACAACGCGTTGTCGCGAGACTGGCGGGTCGACAGCGATGACGCGCGAGCCCTCAGAGCCGCGGTCGTGGAGCCATCCGGGAGACGATGGCCGGCCTTCTCCTCAAGGAAGGCTTGCATTTTCTTGGGCGCCGCCCTGGCATTTTCACCAACCCAGTGCAGCGTGTCGTGGCCCCACAGGGAGCTCCACCGAAGGCTCCAGTGGGACCGTCCGCAAGCGTCCCGAACCACCCATTGTGGCATTATCACCCACCCAGTCCAAAATTTCGTGGCCCCGTAGGGAACTCCACCGAAGGCCCCAGTGCCACCGTCCGCATGCGTCCCGAAAACCCAACGTGGCATTTTTACTTATCCAGTACAGCGTTTCGTGGCCCCTTAGTGAGCTCCACCGAAGCCCCCAATGGGACCGTCCGCATGCGTCCCGGAAGCATTTTGGCATTTTCACCTACCCAGTACAGTACAGCGTTTCGTGGCCCCATAGGGAGTTCCACCGAAGCCTCCAGTGGGACCGTCCGCATGCGCCCCGGAAGCCCAATGTGGCCCCATAGGGAGCTCCACCGAAGCCCCCAGTGGGACCGTCCGCATGCGTCCCGGAAACCTTACTTGACACACCACTCACCCAGAACAGCGTTCCCCCCCACCCAGTGCAGCGCTTCGTGGCCCCATAGGGAGTTTCACCGAGGAAGATGTTCACACTTGCAGTACCCACAACTGCATATGGTTGGGTCTTTCGCCAGGATAATTTCAATACGTTGGATCTCTGGGAGGAGGAGGAGGAGGAGGAGGAGGAGGAGGAGGAGGGAGGAGGAGGAGGAGGAGGAGGAGGAGGAGGAGGAGGAGGAGGAGGGAGGAGGAGGAGGAGGAGGAGGAGGAGGAGGAGGAGGAGAGGAGGAGAGGAGGGGAGGGATGGAGGGAGCTCAAGGTCAGGGCGGCCCGCGCGGGCGGCGCCGCCCGCGCACGGCGGGGCGGCAC